ATTCCGATGCTTATGAAAGCTAAACAGAGTTGGACGAATTCGCCGAGCATCTACCCCCCCCACCTCCCATACAGTAAGTCTATTTATACTCCTAAAGCAGCGCATCCGCGTACAGAATGGAACATCCCCGGCTACCGAACTTACCACCGTCAAATACAATGCAGACGGAAGAATTAAGAGGTGTAAGGTGATCTGGGCACAGGGAAGGCCCAGTTCACATGCCGCACAGTATAAATGCAGGCCCGGTTTAATTACATTAGGAGGTGCAGTGGGTACGGGTTTTCAATTTCAGGATTTTTTTTTTCTGTGGGGTCCTGCAGTGCAATGACACTGTTGTGTGCTGTACTGTATGTCTACATTCAAGAGACACTGAACATGTTGACCATCTGCGGCCGTTTGCTCTAACTGGCTAATACCATTGCTGTCTTACAGATATTACAAATGTAAGTGGGTTTTGATGCTGTGCCGAGTGACAGATTTATCAATAATCCTGTGGGTGATTTGGACAAGGGGTCAGGGATGGTCCAAAGACTGTAAGGGTCAATATAAGCACACAGCTTCACACAAGCATCCCAGTAAGTTTTTAAGGCAGAACTGAACCCAGGAACAATGTCATACTACTTGTGCAAAGTACTGTTTTTATATCATTTCAATTAACAATATGACAACTTATGTCAAAACTGTGATCAAGGCATTTCTCTCACACACTGCACACTGCAAAATATGAAGCCCTGAACTATGAAAGTCCTTAATGGAAAATTTAGGAAAAATTTTCTTATGAAATAATTTAAGTCCGGTAACAATTAGGTAAAGCCAAAACCGTTTCAACACATTACTGAAACCGAATATACAGTACACGTAACTTAATCTTGAAGTCAGTCTCCTGTGAAAGAAATCATTTTTCAAGCTCAAAATCTGTGCTAAGACTGTCAGAATTCACCATCTGCGCAGGGCCTAGACAACGAAATGGCAAATGTGGAAATAGAAAAATGACACAAATCTAAGGCCTTTTAAAGATCAACCATACGCACAATTCTGAGAGAAGAAATACACATGCAGAGATCAACAAAAAAGCGGGAGCAAAGCAGTCAGAAAATTATTATTCATTTGACATTTAACCGAGATGAATGATCTGCCTGGTGTCCTTGCCAAAACAACAGGCAGCCTGGCAGGGCAACAGAACGCTTGTTACATGTTTAAAATGACACTCGCTACACAGATAAAGGGTGGCCAATGCACCAGCAGACCACATACACTGTATAGGATTTCACTTTGCTTGGTAAAGTATTCGGGCCGATACAAATGAGAGCCTGTAATGTGCACAAAATACCAGGGGTGTGGGGTTGTGTGGTCTTGCGTGTTTGGCAGCATACCCTGCAGAAGGAAATATACCATGGGGGAGGGGCGGGGGATGTTATTGCAACAACTTAGGCTGATGATTCTCAGAATTGACCTTCAACAAAATCAACAAGAAAGGCGTACATGCATGTACCAGTACATACCAAATGTGAACGCTCTGGAACGATCTTCAGCCTTTCATATTGAAAATAATTTCCATTTACAAATATATTGACACCAATCATCTCATCCCTGATGAAGTTCCTTTTTCTCATGCCTGGCCTCATCTATGACTAAATTGTCTTTTCAAAGTCTTGGTCTTTTCTCAAAGTCCTACTCTCTAATGACCGATTGTTTTTTATCATCATTTTTACATCTAGGCAGGTGTGAACTCCAAAGACAGGTGTGGACTGTCACCAAAGTCTTGCCTGACACAATTCCATCATTCACTGCCAATAAAAACTGCTGAGAAACTGGATCCAATGTGATTCCCATTAGGGTAGCAAAAAGTAGGCCACAGCAAGGCTCCCTAGCAGTGAATTATCAGAATATCAAATGGGGTTCACAGAGGCCATTGTAGGAGCTTTAACTGGGCTGACTTAGCCAATCCCACATAGCCTATCCCATAGAGACTGCGGTTAAAGGAGAGATGAAATCTCTTGGTCGCATGCCAGCCTTTCAAATACTAGATCTTGGAAGTGTTTAAGGTGAACTTTTAAAGGCACTAAATTATATTTCAAGTTTTCGTTCAAGCTTTAGTTCCAGCTTTGAGTACAGCTTCAACAGCTGAGCTCATCTCCCTCACTAGCAGGACGTCTGTGACTCGTGAATGCGAAGCAAAACCTACGGTAGGAATTGCTTTAGAAGTGTGGTAGTTTGGTGATTTTGGAATAAAACTCTGCTTCATTATACTTCATTGCATACAGGTGTATCTCCTGACAGAGGCAAATTAGTAAACAGTCTCAAGTTGCCATAGCTAAATCAGTGACCAATCAGCCTTGATTTCAAGAGTAAAGTCTTACCAAAACTCAATCAGGACCTGGAGCAGCAGAGAAGGAGCTGTTCACACTATCCACCACCCCAAGAACTGAGAGGTCCTGGCCAACCAACAACTTATCACTTTACAAAATCTGTAAGTATCAGCAGACACCTGGGATCAGGTGGTCCCTGACTGTGTAATTTGCTAAACTGGCAGCTATTGTGTGGGCTGGGAGTCAGGTTACTAAGAAGGAGGGGGGGGGAATCTGCAGGGTATGACCACAGCAGATGTTGTCAACATCTCCAGGTTTGAAGTGCAAGATCTTGACAGTCCTGAGGTTAGTTTTGACCATGTTTATCCATACATATAGGTAGGCCTATAGATCTGTTACCAAAATCCACTCCTCTGTACTGATTTTTTTGGATTTTGAAGGGTCACTTGCTAAGAAATTCTATCCAGTGTCTGATAGCGATACAGCCTCCTGTCCACCTGTCCTGGAGACAGGCCAATACAACTTTGAATTGGCAATTTTTCCTTGTTCAACATTCACAAGCCCTCATTTTTAACTGAACTCATACATGCTAGATGCATGTGAGCACAGATGTTCTGGAGTGATGAATGATATGTATGCTTTCTTGGTGTTATGGCTGACAGACTGTTGACAAATAACAACATATATACTTTTTTAAATGGCTGCCCACTGGATTGATGCTGCATGCACAGAAAGGAAAACCTGGCATTTAATAATGCACACAGTCATCTATCACTCTGGTATCATATGGGGGGTGTCACCTTTAACAAGAAAATTGAGCCCACCCAGAATCACTGGAACCAAACTCACCAATCTTGGTAACGAATCCACCCACAAACCCACCAAGCAGAGAGACATGCAGGCATCATGTTGCACAACAGTCCCTAAAACTGTTAGACATTATCAATGAAATCTTAGACAACAAATCAGGTATGATGTACACACCTACCGGTATTCCAAAGCATCAATACGCTTCCCGAAAGAATGACACTTTGCCATCTTGTTCTAACAATCAAAATCTAATATTAACACAAGCATTAATACAATAGATAATTTGATTTAATGTACACCTTGTAACTAGAACAGCTTTGTTAATTACTCCACTGGCCAATCAGAATCCCAAGCAAAGCAGGTGCAACCAATCATATTTCTCTCTATTGTGCTTGCCCTTCTAATGCCAGTGGGGTTGACACAATCTGCCATCAATATTTCACAAAGGTTGAATGAGTTTGGCACTTGAGTGATGCATTGCCTGGAAAAAGTGACACAGCATAAGGACATACACCTGTTCATTCCTGCCAAGGTATGAAGTATACAGGCCAACCAAATATCAATACCAGCATCTGCAGATCGACAAGTATCTTTTTCAGTGACCAACCTCAATTACCATATTTATGACTTGCAAATTAGACACTTCATACTCTCATCAATTTGAAGGCAGACCATAAAACAACGCCCACACACCAAGAAATGTCAGCATAGCAATCATATCAGCCCACCATAATTTATGTGCATCATTCAACAACATTATGCCAACACACTCTCCACAAGTTATTTGTGACAATGCCATGAAAAACCGATCATTTGCTTGCAAAATCCAAAACCTGGTCAAGCGAAGTGTCCGGTCCAACATATGAATACAATATAAAGTACACTATCAATGGCATATCAACCCCGTTTCTGAATTTGCCAGATAAGGATAAAAAAGACAGGTCCAAAACAAAATGAGTGTATTTTGTCAGATAATGTTGATACATTTCATAAAACCCATCTCTAGACTTGTAAGAGCAGTCTGGAAAGCCTAAATTGCTAAATGACACCATCAATCATACAAAACATTATAATCCTTTATATGCTGAACCAATTCATGAGAGCTGTTATATGGCATCATTCTGTTGAAAAAGGAGACAGTAATGGATTCAGGCCCCGGGGGATATCTCAGGATTGAAGCCTCATCTAAATGTTTAATTAACCACACCATTCAAGAGCAGAGTAAATTTGCTGGGTAATTAGAGGGCGGGATTATGGAGGTTGCATTAATGCTCTTCAAGTGATCTGCATCCAGGATGATCCAAGCAGCCTGAGGTGGACCTGGAAATCATAGCAGGAATATCGGTCAAAGGCCATCCAAACCACACATAAAAACCAAACTGTTGAAATGTGGCCTCCAACAAAAATGAGAGGATTATAACACCAGTGTCCCTAAGCAAAGTACTTCGCTCTGATTACCATTACTACCAGTAGGTATGGATGACGGTGACAAATTTCCTGTATCATCCAAAATCCACTAAGGAGGGCGAGAAATGGTTCGCTCTATCCTTCATTCTTTGGACTTCTAAGGGGCAGCAACCAAGTGTAAAGTAAAAAGTGGATGGACTCTACTTTCAAAAATCTACCTGCAAAATCTTGAGAAACACATCTCAGGGTTCTACTGAATGCAGGCATGCTGGGAGTTTGTGGATGCAAACGTTGATGTTAATGGTGGTGCCACGCTGTATTCTGCTTTGAACACAGACTATGCAGTGTTCCCATTCACCTTCACAGACCTGTCCTTGAGTTGGCAGCAGTATGCCTTGAACAATTAATGCAGAGAGCCAAAAGTGATAACATTTCTGAGAGGTACATGTAGACTGCATGTTCGAAAGCACTTACCCTGCATCCTGTGCTTCGTGTGCTCGTATTATAGACAGCAGGTTGTTCTGTTGAAGGAACTCACAGCAAGCTGGGTAGCTGTCAGACAAAAAAGATTTGATCAATATTGAAGGTCACCACTAAAGAAATATAGGGCATTGCTCAATGTCCGTTTGGAACCACCTTAGAAATACAGCATGTCTGAGTGCCTACTGGTGCTTTTGGTACATGTGTTAATTTCCTTTCATTCCAGCAATGACATGACAGTTACAAGAAAAATGGATTGCAAAACTGCAGCCAAACTTGCAACATCCACTGCAGTGATCACATGCTGGGATTTTTGCACAGCATTTTTATTAGCCATTATTTCAGCCAATCCACCAATGCCAAATGGTAGTGCCCTAAAAAAATGACATTCGAGGTCTACAGCAGTATCTTAAAGTTCAGACTACATGTATGTTTCTGGTGACATATTAACCCTAACAGTCCTCAGTCCTCCAACAGGTGAAGGACTGAGGACTGTTAGGGTTAACTATGAATTGGCTATTGTGCACCATGTATGTCCTAAACTGCTTTCACATGATTTCATGCCCTTCCCACACCTGCAATACATATATAAAAATAAGACTTCTATCAAATCATCTCTTTGGAATTTGGTCAAGCGGTTGTTCCAGTTTGTCTACATTTGGCTCATTTCTTAACCTTTTTCTCAAAATCTGAATTCTGAGGGTTTTTAGTTATGATTCATGTGAAACTACTGACTATCCTGAGAGAACTGCTAGGCAACAGGGTTTTTTTATCAATTATTAAGTATCCTGAATTTCAAGAATGCAATACCATTCATTGGAGGAATTTAAACATCCAATGCCCAAAACAGATTTATTCTAGAACTTTTACCAAGGCAAAGCTCAGACTTAAGCCGCCTGGAATATCACATCCTTTAGAAAAAATGGAAACCAGAACTTCCCTGAAGCATTTCTTACAACTGTGTGCATGCTGCTTGTTTAGGGAACATTTTCAAATATCAACCTGACCTTTGAACCTTCCCACCTTACCTGTAGAAGTAGGAGCAGCCTCTGACTGAGTTATGACTGAAGTGCTCTGACGTGTGTTCCTGGCCAAACTCCTCCAGTGGGTCCGACCACAGGATGTCGCACATGGGCCCAAAGGCTGGGGGTTCCTTGAACCGATCCAACTGCAAAACAGACAGGGTACAGAACAGAGTCAACAAGACTGCAGAACACAGGGCGTAGACCTTTATCATCATGCTGCCCTGTTTGTCTTGTTCCTTGCAAACTCACTGGCAATAGTAATACAACTTCACATATTGATAAAAGGGAACAGACTTTTCCTTTTTCCTCCCGGCCTCAGTTTGGTTACATTGCTTTGAATGGTGAAAAAATGAAAGATTGCTGCCCCCAAGACAGAGGTCTACAAAAGACAGTTAGCAAAGCTTGGCAGGAACTTCAAGGAGGCATCAGAGGCAATTGACTTAATGCCCCTGATCTTTGCCTCAATGCCCACTGAAAAATCCCCATAGACAAGTTGATTTTCTAATACAAGTGCCCATTGCAAATGAGAAATTGCTATGGCCCTTCAAGAACAAAGTTCCTGCTCTGAAACAGCAATCACAAGGCTGCAGAACAGACTTTTCCATGACCAAAGTATGAAAATCCATGACCCAATAACACGATTTCTTCGAGTATTCAGACTTTTAAAGTTGCGAATAAAATAATGCATTTTATGGGCTTATTTCTGACAATACTACAATTCACACACATTGTGTTTGAAAATTTCCATGACTTTTCCATGATTTAGTCTTTGTTTTTTTACAAAATTCCATGGCTTTTCCAGACCTGGGAAACTAACACAAATTTCACTGTCTTTTTCATGACTTTTGCAGGCCAGGGGAACCCTGATCATTTCATATTCACAGCATCACCACAGATTGTATTTCCTTATCCCTGAGAGTTCACTGCTACCACGACTCATCATAAATTGTACTGAAGTCCTTTGGTAAGTTGTGGTATGGTGTAACAAAGCTACATGAAGACTAAGAAATGGCCACGAGCATACATGGGCACATTTTATCAGAGTTGTGCCTATTTGTGGCACCACACAAGGTGGTCCTCGACACCCCCCAGAAGGTGAAGACTAAAGCTCACATTTCTGATATCCTCCAGTGTATGTATTTCAGGTGATAGCCCTCCGTGCACGCACAGGAATTGTTGATTCATAAGAGCTGCAAGGGGCAGGCAGTCGAATGCTTCCATACACGCATTGTACACTCTCTCTGTATATTTAATTTTACCTGCAAATGTAACAAGAGAAGGAACCAAATGACACTGACATGAATACACACAGTGTTATAAATTTATGCATGCACATTTTGGTGGCTCCAACTTCTGCAAGATTTCATGTTTGAAGCAATGTATAAAATTTTCTTTTTCCAAGAACCAAGACAGTTGAGCAAGCCTCAAGTAGAACTTGACTTTATACTCCATGCTTCCTGATGCAGACACTGTAAATGCACAACATGTCTATACATGTAAGTAACTTGCTGGGATCATATGACTAGTAACAACTTTGGATATCAACTAAAAAAAGGTAAATTTGCTGTTAAATGATTTGGTGACTCAATGCTACACATCTGGAGCTGGAAAATATTCTTCAATCTGGCTGCTTCTAAAAATTTCTCTACTGTCTACCAAGTTGAATTTTAAATAATAATAAATTCTGTTAGTTTATCCACAGGATAGTTTAAGCGAGAAGATATCACTTCTGGCCATGAATGGGGCCTGATATTTGCCCTTATGAGCACACTCAATGCCAATGCTGTGACTGGGGGCGTGCATTTCAAGGAATCCATTACTCCGTCTGCCTGCCATATGAAATTTTCTGAAAATTAAATGAAAACATCTGAAGGTCAGAAACAAGCTGCCATCCTTGTCATGAAAGGCTAGCCAAAACGAGTTGCCTACACAATGGCAGGTGAGCTCAAAGTTTGTCAGAATAGACACATAGTACTGTAGCAATATTGCATTACCTACATGTACATTAAAAGCAATATCACTCCATGTGTTCTTTATCAAGGCCAATCTGTTAAAGTAAAGGGACATTCTCTGTTTTGCTTTTCCAGGTAAGTCGGGAGATATTTAATTTGGAGCTACTTGTTTATTCTTTCCAAAAGCAAACTCAATCAAAGAGGAAAAGGTAAGCTTGAAGGTTACCATACATGAATATTCATGATCTTAGGACATAAAAAAAAAATTACCCCACAGGAACATTATTGCATTGGACCAGGCCTAGCATTTGTAAGCTTATGCCATTACTTACACTCCTGCTTGAATGTGAAATACTCTGTAAGATGCCGGCACTCATGGTTGCCTCGTAACAGGAAAAATGTGTCACGGTACAGCAACTTTAACGCCCAAAGATACAACACACACTGCATAGATGGACAGAGAGAAAAAAAAGAAATGATCAAGCAAGATAATGATTTGGGGGGTTAGTTTTTCAGAGAGATTTCATGAATTGGAAGAATAGAGATGCCACATATCTATTAGTAATACAAGTAAGAAAAGGAATAAATTTATCCTAAAGCCTAACCCCCTTGGGTGTAAAATCATATTGATATTAAAAGATTGAGGACTGCTAGGGTTAAAACTGCCTCTTTAGTTAATTCTTAGCTGAAGAAAACCACTGTAATGTTTTGCCAATACATCACCTGACTTATCTTTCATAATATGGTCCGGGGTTCAATTCATTGGTTGCATCATGAACTGACGTATCATGGATAGTTGACACACCACGAACTGTCCTATCATGTGTACAAAGTCTATGGACAATACGTTACTTCGTGGTG